ATATGAACCTTGGGCCATATTGCCAATATTCCTCAGTGTGGCCCTCACACTCGGTCAGTTAGAAGTTAATGTTTCAAAACAATGTTGTTTCAAGTTCGCAAGGCAACCAGGTGGACAATCAGACATGGTTTGTCTGAGTTACAATTCATAGACCCAACATTTCGACACTCCTTTCCATTGTGTGTATTCTGCATAATATCAATCACATACAAAATAAGATCAAAGAATACCTTTGAACACAAATAACTAGTGGATTAAATAATCTAGAAATGTAGTATGTTTGTGACTTGTAGTTAGTAGTCTTGTAGCAAAACTTGTGTCGTAAAGATTAAAGTGAATGTAAGAACTCCAAAAACGTCTCGAGGTTTTTTGGTCTCACTTCGTGAGAATAAAGAATTTTTTTTTACCTATAGATGTAAGGTAAGAAGAGATTTCAAGGTATTTTAAGATAATAGATCTGAGCGTGAAAAACTGAAACCTTTTTTTATTTTGTTTTACAGCGGACGTTAGACCTCAATACTCACTGCCTTTCAACAGTTGAACTTTCATCTATACACCGATCTCTATAAATCTTAGGCTTTTGTCTTTCCAAGGTAAGCTATCCGTGTGTAACATCTGACGCTTTATAAAGTTTTCATTTTCCAGTGGATGTAATTTTCTTAATATCGATTGCGGACAAAATAAAAAAAAGCAAACGCGGTTAAAACGCATCATGCTCTGACATAACGACATCTAAAGCCATTTGTTACATTATCATAAAGATTCTTTTTCTCCCATTGGCAGGGAAACTGACCTCGATCAGGAGATTTCAGTGAAGATCCCTTGTTTACTTTAATCGGTGAGTTTATATAGAGTTGATATACTCAGTCAGTTTCATTTCCCTTGGGTTAGTTGCGTGACTGCGTTACGAGTCCCTTAGTGATCTCTATGCTGTCTGAGATCACTGGAGTGCTTGCTCTCCAGTATGGCGTTTCTTTGCGGTATCTATGCACGTGATCTCTGACTGCAAAAGGCCTATTGAATAACTGATCTAGTATCACGAAGATTACTTTCGAACAGATAGACAACCAGTCCAAAAACTCTACCTGAGGGCGAGCAAGAGCGAATATAAAGGAAAGGAGAATCCATACCAACCGAGCATCATATTATAATCATGCTCTAGTGGTAATTACAGTTATGACATCTGTGATAAGAACTGAAAAAAGTACATTCATAAATGAACGAAAATCTCAAACAGCGCGGCCTTGTCAAGCATTTTTAATTCCACTCAGATTCAGAAATACATTCCAGCCGTTAAACTGCATACTATCAGCTCCCGTCAAAATGAATTTTTTTCCTGCTACATGCTAATCTGACCTCTTCACAGTCAGTCATTACATGTTGCGCTTTAGGGCTAACCCCTGAATGAGTCCTGAATTGGGTGTCGGAAAAGCTGAATTCAAATAAAACGGAGAAACGAGTTAAGTTTTTTTTCATCAATCACTCAGGGAGAAGGAAGATTAGAAAAGAACGATGTAAAGAAGTTTAGCCAAATTTTTCGTTACTTCATATCAGCAGATGTATTTCGGTATTGTATGTCTCACTTTAGTGACCGATTATGGATCTGAGTGTGAAAAACTGAAACCTTTTTGTCTACCTTGTCTTAAAGCGGACATTAGACCTCGATATCCATTATCTTTGCACAGCTGGATTTTCATCAAATGAAAATCCAACTGAAATCACTATAAAACTGAGGCTTCTGTCTTTCGAAGGTAAGCTATCTGCTATCTGCGTGTAACGACTTACACTTTACAGACTTTTTATTTCCCAGTGGATGTAATTAGCATGATATCGTTGGCGGAGAAAATAAGGAAAACCAGATGCGGTTAAAAGCATCATGCTCTGACAGGACAACATCTCGAGCCATTTGTTACTCTTGTGCCCTTTCACAAAGATTCTGTTAGTGATTCTTGTAATCGTTTGCCATATAATTCTTATGATGTAAGTTCGCAGTATTTGGCATTGGACCAACTAATAATCCCCCAGTGATATTTTTTTTATTCTCATCACTTGTCTGCCTTGAGTTGTGACGATGCAGTAGGGAGAGATTTTGAATTGATCACTTAAAGGAGTTAAAGGATTATCGTGTAAACTAATTATGGTCTGTTAGCTACGTGCCTCTATAGATATTTCAGAGCTTATGTGCCATGTTGATTTACCAGTGTCTATGACGTGGGTAGCATATTTCAAATGGGCAGAGGGGAGGGTGTTACTACAGCCGTATCTAGGGAGAGTTTATGCGCTGATCAAGATGTTCTCAAATCATGAGTTGCGGGGGATTGGTGACATGCATTGATAGACCCCTTAGGTACTGCTCCTAACCCCCCCCACCCCGCCTCATTCCCAATCTGTGAATGACTTGAAAGAAAATGAAAACTGTCATCAAACGCATTTAGCAAAACATGAAAAATCCGAAACTGGTTATAAATCATAATATAAGATCAAGAAAATATTACAAACTTTTTTTGTTAACCTAAACGGGTGAAGAATGAACAAGGCATTTACCAATTGTACAAAATCTCAAAAGAATTGAAAAAAATATCTGTCTGTCATGAGTACATAAAAAAGGATGCCAAGGTAGAAATCCTGTATTTTTCCGTGACATCGAAAAACTAAGAAAATGCCAGATTACATAGATATTTGAATATTTACGTTTTATTCCCAACAGGACGAACAACTCTTTACTGAATGAAACTTTTGTATTTCTTTGCAAATTAACAACAAAATCTAAGCGTAATTATCAAATGACGTCCGGGAGACCCGTTTTTTAATGCAACTAAAAAAAAATGAATTATGCTATCAGAAACAGTTTGTCGTCTAAATCATCGAATACATGACTGAGTTACGAGGCGAAAGAAGGGAAAAATTGTATGCTTTCCTTTACGACCATCGTACATTTCTTCCTTGTAGCGTCCCCAGTGAGCCCTGTACAGTTCTGTCCGACGATTTAGCGTATAAGTTGAGAGCAGAGAACATTGGCTAAGAGAAAATATTTGGGAAAGCTAATAATTACATATTCTATAAATTTGAAGATATCGGCTCAAAGATTTGTTGATTGTTTTGCTTTTGGAATTTGGATGGCGTGACAACAAAACAAACAATAAGGAATTCCCTACTTTTGTGCTGTCTAAAGGGTGAAGTTTCTAATCATCAAGTACATTATCATAAATATTTCTTTTCTCTCATTGCCAGTGAAAACTGACCACTATCAGGAGATTTGAGTCGAGAACCTTTGCTTGTATTAATCGGTGAGTTTATTCAGAACTGATTTACTCAGTTTCATTTTCCTTGCGTGAGCTGCGTGACAACCATAGTTAGAGGGGACTGGTTATGAAACCCGGTAAACATCAAAGGCCGATGTCTTTGTTATGGTTTTCCCTTAGTCACGTGATCTTGACCGTGCACATGGAAAATCAACATGGAGATCAGAGTGACGTGAATGTGCAGAGACACGCTGTATTTCGCCAGATTTTTAGCTTAGATTAATCTCGATTCGATAAGTGTTATAGCTAAAGTACTCATTAGTCGTCATGCCTGGAGATAACTGCGCTGTGTTTGGCTGTGGGACTTGTAGAGGAACGAAAGGGATCGGTATTTGGAAGCTGCCTGCAGCGAAGCACTAGGCACACAAGAAGTGGCAGGATGATTGGTTGAGTGAAATCACAAAGACGCGTGAGATCGACCATGAATTTCGAAAAAGGATCGAAAACGACAAGGTGTTTACCTGTGAAAAACACTTCGACGTAGAAGATTTCGAAATATGTAAGTACGGCTGCGATATAAGCTTACAGTAGACATTGAAGACATGTGCTCTCGCCTTCCATAAGGTTTTGTTCAATTACGGTCTCTCTGGAATTTTCTTGAAGGTTAATTTTCATCTTTCTTAGTTGTGTTTTACTTTATTTTCAAATGCAGTTCAAACGGCGAAAATGACGCAGAAGAAACCACAATTCGGCCCCATCCCAGCCTTAAACAAGCCAAGGAAAAGTCACGAGTCTGCAAGGCCTACACAAAGACCTGCTAGATCGGTTGTCAAGGAGCACGATCAACAACCCAAGGCATGTTACAAGTCATTTTGCTGCTCACGGCTCTGACGAACGAGGAGAGATTTTTCTTTTACCCGAGAGTGCAAACAGGTGTGTTCTTCCTCGAGAAGAAAGCTACCTTTTGACAATGAGGGAAATTTCACAAATTCAGCTGCGAGAAAAACTGGTGGTTCTAAGCCGTTATCACAGCGCTCGTGGAGAGATTAAAACCGAGGGAGTTATTGGAATCGCTCGAGCGTTTCTTGGACCCAGTGCTCGCTCAGTGCTAGCGGCACGTTGGGCCCTTGAGGACAAAGCCATAGAGCAGTTCATGATCCGCCTCTACGATTATTTGTACCGCGGGGAAAGTGTCAGTGAATCGCTCCATAGGACCCGGAAGTGGATGAGAAACAACGGCTTTGTCAAAGTCACTCAATGGTCTCCGTTTCTACTGATTGGCGACAACGTGACATTTGACTTTAGAAATTGGCCTGTGTCGTCTGCACAGCCTGAGAGCCAAGTGTAAAGTAGTACACTTCATTCAAATGCGTTGGATTTACAATGCCGGTAAATGCCAGTTGGTTTTATGTAGTAGGAGGACACCGTCTGTAAACGACAAGATTGATACCCACAGAAAAACATTTCTAAGAAAAGGAATCATCGACATCTATGTCTAATGATCTAGAAAAGGACAGTTCATAATGAACTTTTAAAAAACTTTGAGTGACCTTCTTTTCCGGCGAAAGTTGTTAGTAGTCATGCGAAGTAGATTTTCGATTTTTTCGAAAGCGATTGGTCACTGAAGCCAAATTAATTTCATGTAATTTTTATAATGAAGTTAAAGAAAGTAAATTCCAAATATTTTCCAGTTTTTCAAGCAACTCTCCATTTTTTCTTATGTGTATATTCCGGAAGGTCTCTTTAGTTTAAGATTACGCGAGCTTTCTTGTAAAAAAACTACTTAGAACCTTAGTACTTAACAAGCTTCAGTGACCTTTTCCGGCGAAAGTTGTTTGGTTAAGTAGTCAGGCGAAGTAGATTTTGTTCAATTTTTTCCGAAAGTGATTGGCTACTGAAGCCAAATCAATTTCAAGTGATTTTGATAATGAAACCAAGAAAATTTCAAATATTATTCCAGTTTTTTCAAGCAACTCTCCATTTTTTCTAATGTGTGTATATTCCGAAAGGTGTCTTTAGGCTAAATTTACTCGAACTTTCAAGCAAATCATCCATAATCACTTGTGTGATGAAAATACATTTACTAGCCGTGGAATGTAGCTATTAAGGTTTTCATTGTGCTTTTTTTATATTTTTTTGCAAGGAAATGATTAATAATCTTACAGAAACTTTCAAAGTGCGCTAACCACTTCACATGTTAGGGGATGTTACTAAACTATGGATCAGCAGATCGGAGTCAGCGAAACTTGTGGAACCAGCGAAACCAAGGGAACCTGTGAAACCATTAATTTTTTTCATGGAAAAAATAATGAAATAAAGCTGAAAATACCTTAACGCTGTTCAAAATTTCGTTTTCGGGTATAAAGAAGATTACGCGCCAAGTCAGTGAGAAAAAGGACAACTCATTTTACAAAACAACCCCGCCTAAAACGATTCCACCAGCCATTTATTACTTCCTTCCCTCGATTTCCCCTAGTAACGAAATAACTTCGGCCTATCCACGTGGACTAATTTATTATGCGTGAACCATTTAAAAGTTTCAGAAGTTTTTTTTTCAGGCTCTTCACTTTCCATCAAAGAACTTTGACAAATACACTCAGTTCATGGCAGTTTCGATACTTTCACCGGATCATGCAGGTATGAAGTGGTAAATCATGTTATAGTTGTTATTTGAACAGATGGATGGGCCATCTTGCCCACCCTGGACTACCCGCTTTGATTCCGCGCACGGAAAAAGTGCATTGAACGGACTTACAAAGTTCATAACTTTTGGACAATGTCAGCGATTAAGTCACAAAAAGCGGCAGTCAGAGCAAAGAAAACATAAACGACCCTCGTGGGTTTACTGTGCTACAAACACAGTTTCCCTTCTTTCCCGGCGCTCGAAATGAACAAGTTATCCTCGATTCTTAGTAAGGCGAATTCTTTTCGTTAGAAATCCTTTAATAGAAAAAGCTTGTTCGGTCAAATTGCCTGGATATTCCCCTCGTCCTTTTTTTATTGCGTTTTGATGGACCTCGACTTCGTCTCGGTCCATAAAAACGCAAAAAAGGAACTCGGCCAATATCTCGCCATCTTGACCTCACGCTTGGTCAATAATGCCCATATGTTCGGCTCGCTCTCGTTGACTGATTTTCTAATATTTGTTCCGGGGTAACGCTTAGTTTCTTTTTTTTCTTTTTATTGAAATTCACTTCTGGGATAATTGTTTTAAAGCAATGGGCGCTAAGAGCTTCTCACTAACCAAGGACAAGAGGCGTATTGGGGAATATTGACCTGAGGTCGTAAAGATATCCAAACTTGTTTCCAGGGTCCCTTTTTTACTCTCCCTCATGCTGAGTCAAGAGAGGGCCTGGGTGAAGGGGAGAAGAGGAACCCTGGAAACGAATCGAATTGGTACTTCATCAGCATATAGAGCAACACTGAAAGCTTTTAAGGGAACGATCATGGTCTCAGTTTGGATTGAGTAGGATAATCGTTTTTCCACTGAGAGAACCAGCGATAGAATTATTTATTCTTAATATTATTATTTATTTTACTGTCCTGGTAACACGCTAAATTTGGACATTATGACAGTGATTTTTCTCTATGAGCTCCTGAAAATTGGTTTAAATTAATTGATTCTCTACAGTGATTAACGTTTTATGGATGATTCGCGGTAACTTTCAAACAAAAATTTGTTTTGCTAAATGAAATTTTTCCCACCATCATTGCTCCTAGCCTATTTTTCTTTTATTTGTCTGTTTTGTTTTTTTTTTTTTTGTCATGACGAGCTTTGCCCACCAAAAAAATTTATGCAAATTAGGCTAAGCCGGATCTGAGTTCCGCCTGGCAATTATTAACTGTAAGAGAAGATCTCAGTTCGCGCCCACAGCACGTTCAAGGTGTTGCGGATGAAGTTTCTGTAATTACTTTTTGGCACTTTTCGGCGTCAAAATTGCATAGTTTGGGTAACCCAAAACCCTTAAGCTGACCTTTCTTGTCATAACACGAATGTTTTCCAGAAAGGGACACGCGGTAATGTCGGTGTCTCTCGTGTGCAGGCATTTTTCCAGGTAAAACCCTCGCGTGGAATCAACTCATGTTTAATTTAACGCTCCTTTTATGCGCACAATGTAAGCCAAAGCAATTTTATAGTTAAACGTAAAGATCAGAATATTTTCTTCTAAGGATGATAAATGATCGACGCTGAACTAAATTATACGTNAAAGTGAATTGTGAAAGGGATCGGTGAATCATAATTAATCATAGGGGAAAGTTTGGCAAGTAAAGCACTCTATCGTTAGGATTACTATTAGCAGAGAAGCAATGTCCGAAAATTTAAAGTCAATCGCTCTGAATCTTTGAACGCTTATTATTCTAAAATTATAAATGAACGTCGGTCCATATCATTATTTGTCGATTTGATGAAGAAAGGAATTGCACAGGAACACCCAACTCAGCCCAATAGAAGAGAAAGTCTCAACGCGGTAAACATTTCTGTCTTGCCTGTACTCTAACATACAGTAATAAGTTAAGTGAAATAATGAAACTGACCTAAAATGAGCTATTTCAATGCCCCCAATGGAACAAAGCTAATGTCTGATGGCATTTTACATATTACAGTTCATTACATTGTTCATGGTGGCTTAATATTACCATGAAAAAGGATATGTAAAGCTCTGCCATGATCGGCTATTGCTAGCCTGCGAGCGGGCTTTCATTGGTGCTGCGCAGAAGCGGGCGAGATTCGAGCCGACGAGTGAGGGAGAGTCTTTGAGGAGTCTGGCACTAAAAATGAGCCAGAACCCGTGAACGTGGTGACCCCCTCGCGCCCTAACATTGCTCGACGGCTTGAAACGCGTAGGCTTCACCGCTCATATCGCAGTACTGGAAAAACTTGGTTTGTGTGAATGTAAATATTTCAAGGCGGGAATAGGCCAACTGAACTACTTGAGTTCGAACAAAATATTTCCCCAGTCTTTTTTTAAGATTAAAAGACTGTGAATGTAGAAAATCATATATGTGAACGGCGGGTTAAGAAATGAATATCAAAGCAATTTTGCAGGAATGAACACTACTTGAGTAGTAGTGAAAATAATTATTTTCTTTTTATTTACTGCTCAAGCAGTTTTCATTACTGATAACCGCCCTCCGGTTAGCTCAATTGGTTAGAGCGCCGGATTGTGTTGTGCAGGAGGTCGAGGGTTGGAGCCTTGCACGAGATTACTGTGTGGTGGATGTCCTCCCCTGGGGTGGAATGGGTGGTTTTCACATGGCCCCATTTAAACCAGCCTTAGCTGAACTGGGCTACCCTGTATAATTATTCGTAAATACATACATACAATACAAGTACATTAAAAAAGAAAAAAACTTTCAAGGAAGCGAAATTTGTAATTTCTTGTTTTGTTCTAGAACCGGATGTAGATTTTAAAAGCGTTAAACATACAATTCAGTTTTCCTACCGAAGAACATTTAAAACAGAAATGCAGTTAATGTGCATCGGAACAGCCTTGTTCTCTCAAAACTCCCGAGGTCGCGTTGTCTTGACTCTCTTCCATGTTTCGTCCGCCACCTTCCTACGTCAGACAATTGGATACGGATTCGGTTCCAGTAGCGCTTGTCTTCGAGAGAGAGTCTACTGTACTTTGATTTGTCTTATCCCTTTGATGAACACAAAATGACCTCCTGGATTGAAGCAAATTGCTTTTACTTTAGTCTTCTCGACTCCCCAGCGAGCAACTTCAATTTTCTGGAACAGTTGTGTCATGGCGATGAGGATTGTTACATTGGAATGGTAAATAAAATCTTTTTAATTTTGCTTAATATCTGGAGTCAGAAGGCGAGCAGCGCATATCAAATCTAATTTCAAGGAGATTCGCGTTAGAACCGTCTCTAACAACTTTTTTCGCAGTTTTTCAAGAAAACGTAAGTTATTTCTCTTCATTGTTGAATTAAGAATTAGAAAACAGGAATGGAGCAATTTACACAAACTAACGAGGAATGAACAGACCACATAATTAAATGCGAGATGGCAACGTAGTTTTTCAACGCCAGCAGTTGGTCGTTAAAATGAAATCTCCTGACAATGGAAGAAAGGAGAGATTATAATGTGGCTTTTAGAACGAATAAAAGGGGGCAATCTCAGTACTTTTTTGTTTAGTCGATACTCATAAGAAAAAAATCCGGTGTTATATACAGTATATACAGTAACTCATAGAAGTTACTTATGCACTCACTCATTGAAGCGTTAAAAGCTCACTCAGTCCTAGTCTTCTCTCGGTCAAAAACGGGGGTGAACAATTCAAGTTTTGAACTGATTAAAGTTTCCAGTTTTCGCTTCCTTGATTGTGATGAGTACACACATTGCAAAAAGGGTTTGATAAGAAACTGACTGTCGTTGGGCAGTTAATGTATGAGCACTTAACTTGAAAAAAAAAGAAGTAAAAAAAAGAATAAAGATAATCCAAAAGAAAATATCCAAGATGTTCGGAGAAAGTCAGCTTTTTCAAACTCGCTGAGCTAAATCTGTTCTCCGTTTACGCGAGATAGAAGAACACATGACTGTGTGATGCACAAATTGAACTGAAGTCTTAAATCAGAGATAACATGCGTAGTTTGAAAACAGCAGATGTGAACCTTGCGTTGATGAAAAGGGGAAAAAGTTTCATGTAAATAATACTGTCACACTGCCCACAGCGATGGTGGGCAGTGTGACACGAAACCTGTGTTCTGATTGGCTCCTCGAGCGGGCAAGTTGGGCCCATCTTACCCGCTTGGGATTGCTCGCTTTGATCCCGCGCAAGAAAAAAAAAGCTTGAAGTGGACTTATAACGTTTTTATTTCTTGGATAATTTCGGCGATGGAGACGCAAAAAGCGGCAGAATATAGTCAAAACATAGAAAATATAAACGACCCTCGTGGGTAGGTTTACTGTGCTACAAACACTGTTGGGTTTCTTTCATAGCTCTCGAAATAAACAAGTTTTTCCTGATTCCTAATAAAGCGAGATATTATTTTTATTAATGAACAGTTAATCGTTTGTCTCACGATATAAGAGTCTGTCTAATCAATCGTGTGTTGATCACGACGTTTCGAATACTATACTGCTAATCTTCGTCAGGCGAGGAGGTCAAAAGTTTAAGTGTCGCTATTTATAGCACCTTGATTAGATGTCATTGGTGAATTTGGGGCGCCGTCATTGATGCCTTTGGACCCTCGCTATTATTCCAGGTTTTATATGTTGTTCTCTCATTGGTCCGCTCTGTTACTGATCGGCTGTTGTACTTTTTTGTTATTGGGCATTCACACTTCAAGAATTCTGATTTCGTTATCTCTATTGGTGTTATTAGAATGAAGTCTTATGTAGATGACTTTTTTAATCTTCAGCGTGTACCAATAACAGTCGTTATCAATAAAGTTAACCTGGTTACGTGTATTGAACATGTCTTTTAACTCTTAGTTTTACAGAAGCAAAAGTGACTGAGATACAGGGCGAATACAAAGATTCTTATATTTTTCATACTGTTGGGTTTGGCAGCCAGCGCATTCGGGAGGCCAGGAGTAACTTCGGAGGAAAGAGAGATTGTTAGTCATGAGGTACGCTTTCGTACATTTCTTAACATTAAGGGTATGTCCATCTATCCCAGGAGGATTAAAGAATCGGCAAGGATGAGCTTCAGAATTGGCTCAATTTGTCCGAAATCGTTTTGTTTTGTTTGGTTTTAACTTAAACACCCCTCGAAGTGGATGCATTTGAGGGCGCTGTGGAGCTTTTGTAAACGCTGATGCGTCTGCTCTTTGCATTTTTGGCAAGGATATAAGACAACAATATGCACACTCAATGAATGCACTTTTTCTATTGAAGTCCCCAGATCCACTTGTTTTCACTTTTATGATCAGTGAGTATAAACTAATAACCGAAGTAGGGGTGGGTAGCAGTGGATATTTACTGAGCTGCAAATGCTTAAGCATAAATTAAAACAGTAAGCTAATACAACACTTGAAGATGATTCTAACTCACTCCTGAAACGAATGCAATGTTTTCGGGTGCATATCTTGCGTGAGTTGTTCTAAGTTAAATGGCGAAGGATTTTCAAAGTTTGAGTTGCCATCCAGAGCGCATCTTCAACGTTATGCAACGTTTCAGACTTTTAGATTTTTAGATTTCAGATTTTTTAGATTAGGCTTTTAATCTTTGAATATATTTTATACTGATTATATAGTTTTAAGTTTTACATTTGTAGGTATATTGCTTATATACGACTGAGTGGAATTTAGCGTGTATAAATAAAGTGATCTATTTATCTATCTATCTATCTATCACTACAACCAACCACCCCATCCCACCACACACACACACACACACACACACACACACACACACACGCACACACACACACAGGACAACATTTTTTTTTAGAAACTATGTAAGCCTTTAAATCTCTTCAGGATGGTACATTTGAAACTATTGACACAGATGGAGATGGTGGTATTTCACCAGATGAGTTGGCGGAAGGACTTGATATCTCTCTGCTAATTGCTAACCGATATGTGGTCGCTTTTGACACGAATCGAGACCAATTTCTAAAATTAAATACCGTACTTCCTCGAAAAATGTTGGGTAAAAGAGGGGGCATTTATTGTAGGAAGGGTGCCTAATCAAGGGGGGCACTTGTTATTCTCCTGTAATGACTCTGCTGTAGGTTTAAAATGATCTAAAGTGGCAATAGAAACAGGTTTTTCTTGTATCCCTACGATTTAAGTGAGTTAGGGATGAGGGAGATTGCTTTATGGACTCTGTGGGTTGAGGGGTGGGTGCTCATTGGAGTGTGGGCACTTATTTGAGGAAATACAGTATAATTTTTATTAATCAATCATTTAATAGTGTGAGTAAGCTTCAGTAGTTCTTGTTACAATGGTTATGATCTTAAAGATCTTCTTTTGTCAGATTTTCTTTCTTTCGAAGACAAGTATTCTTATCTTTTCCCACTCATGTTGGACTTGATAATGTGATTGACCTGTTCCACGATTTCTCCTGGCAAAACAAACGAACAAAAAAACATAGACAACAACAACAAAACTAATGTTAAAAAAAAACACTTTTGGTACACCAGGGAAAATTGTTCCCCAATCATTGAGGCCTTTGATGCCTCAGGCTGACTAAAATCTAATTTCTCCTTACAATATCAACCCTGAATCAAACAGTAGGGTATTGAGAATAAAGGGAATGATCACCAATAATACAGAGGCTTTTGATTGTTAATAAGGAGAATATAAATACTGATGTCGACAAAAATAAACTGGTAGGCCAGGGAATAATAATCAACTTACTTCCAAAAATAAACTATCTCAAATGCTCTTTGCTGTGATAAATTACTGTATGCAAAGAAAAAGACAGAAAATTTCTCACCTGCATCATCAGCATCAGTTTCAAAGTCGTAGTGTTTAAACTCATGTGCATTTTGACTGAAGTAAACTATTCTGAACACAGATTTTCCATTGTTCTTCACTTCATTTAGGCCACAAGCAGCCACATTTTCCATATCTACTGAAGTCTTTAAAAAAAAGTGATTTTACAGGTTAGAATTAAAAGGAAGAGGTAAGAGGGCAAATCAGATAAAAAAAAGTTAACATTGTGCTGAGGGGGACATCGGGATTTGCAGTGTTGGGGCGCTGACTTTTCTTTTTTTTAATGGAGCAAATTGTGGGGTGAGGCAGAAAGGGTAGCTAACGACCTGTCAAACTGTTGGGTAAGGCAGAAAAGGTAGCTAAGGACCTGTCTAACTGTGGGGTGAGGCAGAAAGGGTAGCTAACGACCTGTCTCACTGGCAAAGTGCAGTGAAGTGGAAACCTGGATATTAAATTTTTTTTTGTTTTGCAGCCATGATCAAAATATTCTCTCCAAATTTTAACAGATGTACTTTCAGTGATAATACTTACAAATTTTTGTTTTCCCCAAAACTTTCTTGCTGACTTGAGTTGAAGTACTGGGTCAATTTCTATCTTCTGAAGAGAAACTCCTGAAGGGCAACAGAGAAAGTGATCAATAAAGAAGTTAAATGAAATACAAAAGGAAAAAAAAATGAAATAAAACAGGAAAAAATGAGAGGAGGTGGTACCGGTGGAGAGAGCATTCCTCCCACCCTGTAGAGAGGGGAGGGGGAGTGTAACATTGAATACTTGTTTAAATATGTTTGAGTTTAGAAAAGGTTTAGAACTCTACACTGAGGAGGGGCTTGGAAATTAAGCAGACTTTGAACTTGACATGATCATTATGTAATAGTTGCTGCTGAGACTGCACTTATTGTGTCAACTTCACATGCTATTGAATATTGATTGAATTCTCTTGACCAATCAGATTTTTTGTAGTAAGATGTATTGGCTGAAAGTCAGTGATGAAAAGGCAACAAAATAAATATCTGTGAATGACATACCAAGCTGTATCTCCGTCACCGTCCTCAGCTTTTGTAGCATGCTGACACTGTATGACTGAGGATTAAATAATATTTTTTTTCTCTAAACAAGAGTGTATGTTAAGCAACAAACCAAGACAACATCTGCAATAATAGAAACCTTGGGCAGTAAGAAGGGCAATGCAAAGGAGAACATTAAAAAAAATTTATCCTTTTATTCAGAATTTTTCCATTATGCCTGTATGTGGGTATTGTCTGTAATGGTGTCCCATATTAACTTTAGCATAATCTAATTTATGTGAGCAGCATTGAGTCTCAAATGAAAACTTAAAGAATTTGCCCTCAAGGTTGTTCATGCACACTGAGACCAAGAAAAACAACATTTTTAGATGTAATTGCAGAGCCATTGTCCTGCCCATCAGATTATTTTGTTTTCCCATTATGTCCTCACTGCCATAACTGTTGTGGTTTGCTTAAACCTTTGACCCTAACTGTGACCGGCATCGAATTTCTCCTTACAATATCACCCCTCAATCACACAGTGAGGTCAGGTCAATTGAGCTAACCGCCGCCTGGTTAGCTCAATTGGGAGAGCGCCGGACTGCTGTGCGGGAGGTCGAGAGTTCAATACCGGCCGGACCAACACTCAGGGTCTTAAAATTAACTGAGAAGAATATGCTTCCTTTCTTTAACATCAAGAAATGGTTAGATATTCTAGTCTTCTCGGATAGGGACGAATAAATGGAGGTCCCGTCTCCTGCAGGGTTAGGGGCAGGAGACGTTAATTTCCCACGCACGAGATTACTGTGTGATGGATGTCCTCCCCTGGGGTGGGTTGGGTGGGTAACAGGACCCCCGTTGATACCAGTGTTTACTACACTGAAGGGGCTATCCTGTATAAATATAGATGTCTGTCTGTCTGTCTGTCTGTCTATGCACTAATATTTATTCAATCAGCATTGTTTTTTTACTCATTCTATTAATAAATATTTTGCTATTTGTCGTTTTATTTGAATTATTCAAGACGACTTTCCTCACTACTTCGTATGCACACATTTCCGAACATATGAGAAAGGCATGTTCTTTAATACAGCATAAATTTGTAACCTTTTGGCTGTAAGATTGGAATAAGTTCTTTCGGTGGGCTTGTGCGTTAAAAAATCGGCAATGTAAGATGTATATTTGCAGATAATGTTTACTTACCAGAGCTTCAACACTTGTGTACTCCATTACGTGACAAAAAATCTACTGACAAGTTTCGTGACGACACTGGTGAATCGCACTTGGGACTCGTAGATTATTAATTTCGCTCTGTTGATAATGAAAAATTTTCCAACTCTCTGGCCACCTTTCTAGTAACTTTTGGTCCATATCTCTTCGTCTTCAGTTCAGATAACATGACTACTCTTCAAACCGTCCCCTGGAAAGAGGAGTCAGGAAAAGATACTACATAAGTTTATCAAAACAACATTTGTAACCACGCTGTGAATATATTTCATTAGTTAACCGTTCCATCGCCAAGGTTAACGATCATAAATATGCTTGAAAAGCGTATACAAACCTCCTTCCTTTCTCTGTTATCCTATTCTGTAAAGTATTCGCTTAAATGAAGATTTTCTCGTTCAATACAACAACTGAACCGTTGACTGTCGTTGTCTGCATAGTAATGTAGCGATGATTAAAGGTCACGTTACCACTCGTCCCGTGGATTTCCCGCCAAAACTAACTGCTAATTCATTACCAGTCCTAGTAGAAATGTATTTGAAAGCTATAAAGAAGAGAAGAAAGGGAGAATTTTGCCACTTTGAGAGCTAATTTCTACGTTCAGAAGAAAAAACGACAAGAAGGAAAAATGAATGAATGAATTCCTTTGAATGAATGAATTCCTTAGGTAATGCCATGTACTACTTATGCAATTACCTAATAAAGTTGTTGTTGTTGTTGAATGAATGAATGAATTCCTTATTTAAATTGCGCCCTTTCTATACAATATTCAAAGGCGCAGTACCCTCATCAATTTGATAGATACTACACAAAGATAGA